CTGCATCACGACCACATCATCTCAATTCAAAGACTCAAGACTCAAAGGTTCTATTGTCATATGCTCAAAGCTACAGTGTAGAAATGGCAACGCTCCTCCAGCAATGCAACATATAATACAATACAAAATAATAAATAGTGCAAGAAGTGCTTTGTCAGTTCCAGGTTTAATATGTGCAATAAGTTCATTTCAATAAGTTCTGTAATAAACATTGAACCAGTCCGGCCCTCCACTAGTACACATTTTTTTATTTTGGCCCACTGTGTATTTGAGTTTGACCCCCCTGCTATAAAGGAACTACAGCACGGTCACATGACTTCACGTCACCATTTTGAGTGAATAAACGATATGTATGAGATAAATGAGTCAAACGTGTTTAGCTATTCTGTCATTTTGTCACAAAAATGCATTATTTATTGTGTCAAACTGCAACAAATGTTTAAATCTTTGACCTGCTGGTGGTGCTTAATTGTCTCCATATTTCATGGCAATACATCAAAAACTAGTTGAGATATTTCAGTCTGGATCGAAGTAAAGGGACCTTTTGTTGCAGGTAAAGTTAATTTCATATTTCCCACTGTGTACATTAGTGGAACAAGACACTATTATACAACTGGGATCACCAAGAAAATGATTTTTACGGAATCTGAGATCAAGTACTGCTGGAATAAAAGCAACCGAACCCTGCGGATAATGAGTGTGACGTTTTTCCTTCACACAAATGTGAAAGGAAATAAATTGCAGGCGACTTCAAAGCCTGGACTTTCACGACAAATTACAAAAGATCACAAGCTCACAGAAAACCCAGAGGAGCTTTTACTGAGATGAAAGCGTCTGACGTCACCGACAGAAACATAAAAAACACTGTGTAAAAGTCAGGAGCTTCTCTGATATGTAAAGAACATGCTTTCATACTCAGGAGGGTGACTACAGGTTGTTTTTATTTACTACGTCCTTCTATTTGGTGTCATGTGTGTCAATCATTATCTACAGTGTGACAGGAGGGAGGAGAATATGCTCCAAAAATAGAACTAGAACAACAGCGCCATCTAGAGGACGAACAGGTACTTAGAAATGTGTATATACGAGTATTTCCACACTGCTGTATTAGTTAGTTTTACCTCAGCCTTAATAAAGAAGAGGGTATCTGAGAAGTCTCTCAGGTGTATATCAGTATGTAGTGTCTCTACTTTAAAGAGTCCTCTCCTGCTGATGTTCAGGTGTATATCAGTATGTAGTGTCTCTACTTTAAAGAGTCCTCTCCTGCTGATGTTCAGGTGTATATCAGTATGTAGTGTCTCTACTTTAAAGAGTCCTCTCCTGCTGATGTTCAGGTGTACAGTATGTCAGTATGTAGTGTCTCTACTTTAAAGAGTCCTCTCCTGCTGATGTTCAGGTGTATATCAGTATGTAGTGTCTCTACTTTAAAGAGTCCTCTCCTGCTGATGTTCAGGTGTATGTTCGGCTCTGTTGTGATTGGTCAACAGCTTAGAAATGTCCCGCCCCCTTAGCCTATCAAGTACAATGTGATGGAGCGCTATAGCCAATAGAAGTGCGAGTGTTACACAGTGATGTCATTAAGAGAAAAAATACATTTCCGACACCTGTATCACTCTACGGGGAAGTAAACAGGGCGTCTCTAAAACATGCATTATTTGTACTTTAAAAAGTGTCACCACATGTTGATAAAGAATGCACCACACATCTCATATACTAAAATTCCCCGGCACAGTACCACAGCTTGACCCTTATCTCTTAAACCTTATCTCTCACACAGCGTAACTGAGGAAGTGGAACCTGAAATAGCGAGAGGGACGCCAACATGTTGTGTTACATGAGAGCAGCTCTGATGTGAAATGACAAAAACCTGAAGTGCAGTAAGAAAGTAGGAAGTTGTTTTTATTTTTAGCTTTGAATATAACATTTAAAGAAGTGCAGCCGTTTGTTCTTCAATGACCTGGACGGAGCTCCTGCTAGAGGTACGTGTACGAATGATTGCACCGTGCAATAACTCGATTTCAAAAGGGTTTCATCTTCGTTTATAGAGAAATAGATTAACGTAACATGCTCATACGTTGTTCTTTAAATATAGCATGACATATGTATTTCTTATGAACACGTATTGGAGGATATTTTGGGTTCATTTGTTTGTTACAAGACAGGAGCAAAGGGTTGTATATTCAAATAATAGGAGAGTTGTTTTAAGCATTTTGATTTGACATTTGAATACAAATGTTAGATTGCTTTGATTTAGATTCAAGCCCAAATGTGTGCAGACATACATCGATAAGATCCTTTTACAATTACTAAGACAATTCACCGCCAACATAGATGCATTTATGACCAACGTCCGGGCATTTCTAAAACTTTTGAAAGTATTATTTCTAGATTGAAATATGTCAATTGTATGCAAAATGTTCCTCTTTCTGCATCTGCCTAACAATAGTTGTGTTTATTCGGCATATCAAATAAAAAAAGAAGATATTTCAAGTTAAAAAAAACAGTATCGGAAAAAACTATTTAAGATATCCCACTTAGGGTTGCAAAATTCCGGGAATTTTCAAAGATGGAAACTTTCAATGGGAATTAACGGGAATTAACGGGAATAAACGGGAATTTATGGGAATAAACGGGAATTTATGGGAATAAACGGGAATTAATGGGAATAAACTGGGAATTTTCTAAATTGAAGGTTGGCTCTTCATAGGGAACTTAAATATAGTTGGGGAAAGTATATTTTAGCATAATCTTGACTAAAACAAACAGATGCCATTCAAGTACACTTGAATATCCATGCCATA